CGTGTGCAAAAAAAGGTCTGCTCGTGAACTCAGAGACGGTTGCGTGCAAAGGAGCCACATGTCTCACCCTTCGTGCGATTAGCTAAAGCTACTAGTCTATGGCGTATTTGACTTGGTTGCAATCTAAAAAGTTCTTAATAGTAAAAGAACTTTGGTCAGGTACTTTTGACATGTACCTAATGGAGAGTGTGCAAAAATAAGAAAAGCAAGTTAATTATAAGAAAAGAGGAAATCTGAGATAAAGAGAAAAGAGTAACTTGAGAGAAGGAGAATTGGTGAAAGTACTTGATATTCAACTTACCATAAATAGATCGTCACATACAGGATATTCAAACACTAAAAAAAAATTAAAATCGTCAGGAAAATTACTAGAAATCCCTACCAAGAACCCGAGAGGCAAGAGAGAAAAACCCAAGTCGAAAATCACAGAGTAACCTTCTGGCTCGATACAAGTAACCTAGTCTTAATTCTTCTTTACATATGCCTCAATAATTTGTGCCATGTGCCACTAGTACTCATGGATGGAAGAAATGTAGTCCACTTATTTCTTAGTTAAATCATAGTTGGACGCGTGCACTCTTCTTTATCCCGTTGGTCCCACATATCTCACCCTTCGTGTGTATACCTAAAGCTACTAGTCTATGGCATATTTGGCGTGGTTGCAATCCAAAAAGTTCTTAATAATAAAAGAACTTTGGTCATGTACTTTTGACATGTACCTAATAAAGAATGTGCAAAAATAAGAAAAGCAAGTTAAATATAAGAAAAGAGGAAATATGAGATATAGAGAAAAGAGTAACTTGAGAGAAGGAGAATTGGTAAAAGTATTTGATATTCAACTTACCATAGATAGATCGTCACGTACAGGATATTCAAACATTAAAAAAAAATTAAAATTGCCAGGGACATCATTAGAAATCCCTCCCAAGAACCCGAGAGGCAAGAGAGAAAAATCCAAGTCGAAAATCACATAGTAACCTTCTGGCTCGATACAATTAACCTAGCCTTAATTCTTCCTTACATATGCCTCAAGGATTTGTGCCATGTGCCACTAGTACTCATGGATGCAAGACATGTAGCCCAGTTATTTCTTAGTTAAATCATAACTGGATGCGTGCACTCTTCTTTATCCCGATGGTGCCACATGTCTCACCCTTCGTGTGTATACCTAAAGCTACTAGTCTATGGCGTATTTGGCGTTGTTGCAATCTAAAAAGTTCTTAATAATAAAAGAACTTTGGTCAGGTACTTTTGACATGTACCTAATGGAGTGTGCAAAAATAAGAAAAGCAAATTAGATATAAGAAAAGAGGAAATCTGAGATATAGAGAAAATAATAACTTGAGAGAAGGAGAATTGATGAAAGTACTAGATATTCAACTTATCATAGATAGATCGTCACGTACAGGATATTCAAACATTAAAAAAAAAAATTAAAATCGCCAGAAAAATCACTAGAAATCCCTCCCAAGAACCTAAGAGCCAAGAGAGAAAAACCCAAGTCGAAAATCAATGAGTGACCTTCTGGCTCGATACAACCTAATCTTAATTCTTCCTTACATATGCCTCAAGGATTTGTGCCATGTGCCACTAGTACTCATGGATGCAAGACATGTAGCCCAGTTATTTCTTAGTTAAATCATAGCTGGATGCGTGTACTCTTCTTTATCCCGATGGTGCCACATGTCTCACCCTTCGTGCGTATACCTAAAGCTACTAGTCTATGGCGTATTTGGCGTGGTTGCAATCTAAAAAGTTCTTAATAATAAAAGAACTTTGGCCAGGTACTTTTGACATGTACCTAATAAAGAGTGTGCAAAAATAAGAAAAGCAAGTTAACTATAAGAAAAGAGGAAATCTGAGATATAGAGAAAAGAGTAACTTGAGAGAATGAGAATTGGTGAAAGTACTTGATATTCAACTTATCATAGATAGATCGTCACGTACAGAATATTCAAACATTAAAAAAAAATTAAAATCCCCAGGGAAATAACTAGAAATCCCTCCTAAGAACCCGAGAGGCAAGAGAGTAAAACCCAAGTCGAAAATCACAGAGTGACCTTCTGGCTTGATACAATTAACCTAACCTTAATTCTTCCTTACATCTGCCTCAAGGATTTGTGCCATGTGCCACTAGTACTCATGGATGCAAGACATGTAACCCAGTTATTTCTTAGTTAAATCATAGCCGGACGCGTGCACTCTTCTTTATCCCGATGGTGCCACATGTCTCACCCTTCATGTGGATACCTAAAGCTACTTTGACTTCCTGCTCATTGGTTCATATTCCCCTTTTGATCCCAAATTGATCTGCTACCTCCCATTCCACTTTCCTTTCACCTTGTTTGCCTACTTTCAACCTCATTTCACACTGGTGAGCTAAGTTCCCAACAACTCCCTCGCATGGAGATAAAATCTTGTCCTCAAGGTTAGGGAAATTGTTACTGCACATGTTGTATGTCCTCCAACATTTCTCTTCTAATCCTTTCTGTTTGACTACTCATTCCTCTCTTTCCTTCCCATTGCTACTTATTGTTTGTACATGTAATATTTCCTCTAGCTCCCCAATCTCAGTTTCCTCTGAATTTTTCAAGTCAGTTAAGTCTTCCATATATCCTTGTTGTCGTGCTTTGTATTTCTTAAGCAGGGATACATGAAAGACTGAGAGATATTCCAGTTTGAGCAGGTAGTTGGAGTTTGTATGTTATAGTACTGATTTTCTTTTTGATTTCATGGGGTCCATAGAAGTTTGGTGTTACTTTTTTATTCTTCCTTCTAGATATTGAAATCTCTTTGTGAGGTCATAGCTTAAGGAGCACTAAATCCCCTTCTTAAAAAATCTCTTCGATCAGTGTGCATATGCAAATTGCTTCATTCTCCTTTGGGCTTCCAACTATTATTGTTTTCGTGCTCTACTCGTCTTATATCTTTCCTCTAGAAATGTTTCTGAATCTACTGGGGGGGTGTCTCTGTTGCAACGGTATCTATAAAATAAGGTGGAAAGTACCCATGTAACACTTGAAAAAGGTGTCATTTTGATATTAACCTTCTATATTTTTGAGTTAAAATACCACCATTCTACCAGGCTAATCTATTGGGTCCAAGACTTAATATTTTATGAGCCATACACCGGAGATAGCCTTTTAGACACTAGTTCACCCTCTCAGTTTGTCCGTCTACCTGTGGATGGTAGGATGAATTGTAATGCAAGGTTGTCTCTGTTAGCGTCATGAGCTTCTTCTAAAACAAATTCATGAAAATTGTCACAACCGAAAACTATTACCTTGGAATACCATGAAGTTGGTGTATGTTATCAAGGAATAGTGGGCAATCTTGAGACTTGTGAAGGAATATTTGAGTGTTATGAAGTGATCATACTTAATAAGTCAGTAAACTACCACCATGATTGTATCTTTATTCCCTGATTCTGGAAATTATTCGATGAAGCCCATAGGAAAATAGGACCATGCTTGATCTAGAAGAGGAAGCGGATAGACCTGGCAAGGGCACTTTCCCTATCTTGCATCTTTGGCAAACTTCACATGTTTGCACCCAATTCACAATATTCTCTTTCATATTCTTACCAATGTTTCTTGAGGCATTCACAAGTGCCCCAGATTCCTAAATGGTATCCCATTGTGATATCATGGCATCCTTGAATCAGCTTATTCCTTAGTTCTCCTGAGGAACCAATAATCAATTTTACTTTTATATCTTAATACTCTAAGTTTGAAC